TCTCTTGCTCTCCCACCACCCCAGGGACCCCTGCAGCGAGTCTGTCTTCTGCCATCAATTTTCCGCTCTCTTACTGCATCACTCCTGCTGAATGACAACTATGCTGTTATTTCTACAATCAAAACAAACAAACAAAACTTTCCCTGGACCCCACGTGTCCAATCAGCTACCACCCCCCGTCTCTGCTCCCTTCACAGCAAACGCCTTGAAGTGTTGGGCATTTGCCATCTCCCCTTCCTTCCTGCCTGTTCTCTCTTAGGCCCATTAGATGGGCTGTTGTCCCCACTCCTCTACCAAAGTTGTCCCAGCAGCCTGCAGTGACCACCATGGTGCTGGATCAAGCGTTCAGCCTGCTGCTGAACGTTTGGCCCAGGGGTCCCCTTCCTTCCTTCCTTCCCTCCCTCCCTCCCAAACGCTTTCCTCCCGTTGGCCTCCAGGACACCTCCCAGGCTGCTCCTTCTCAGACCCCTATGCTCTTCTCTTTGTTATTGGTGCTGGTGAGGGGGGTCCCAGGACTCAGTCCTCAAATTTCTTTTCCTCTCTACACTCACTCCCTTCATGACCTCATCCAGGGTTGCTACTTTACATATTCCCTGTAGGTGACAACTCCAACATATATGTCTCCAGCCCAGACCTTGTTCTGAATGCCAGGGAATATATCAAGCTGCCTACTGGACTCTACCTGGAGGTTGTGGCAGAAAAAACTATGAGTCCCCCAGTAGCCATTTTTCCTTCTTTCTTAATAAAAGAATTACCACCACTTCACCACTTGGAATAAACACTAAATTTCCCAGCACTCTTTACCGTTAGGAGAAACCTTGTGACTAGCTGTGGTCTGATGAAATGTAGGTGAAAGTCTCCTTAAAATGTTCTTTCCCATCCCTACTTCCTGGTAGCTGGAATATGCATGTGATGGCTGGCACTCAGGCAGCCATCTTGCACTGTGAGGTGACAGCCAGGTGCTAAGGACAGTAGAATATCAGTCAATAACCATAGAGCTGCTATACAATCCCTAGGCTGTTTTCTCAAGGATTTAGTCCACATCCAAGAAATAAAGTTCTATTTTGTTTAAGATCCGTTATTTGTGGTTTTCTGCCACATTCAGCCAAACAAACCTAACAGAAACAAATGTCTAAGGCACATTGCACACTTAACATATCCAAAATTGTACTTGTATTTTCCATTCCATGCCAACCTGCTCCTCCCACCATCTTCCCCATATATGTAAATGTCAATTTCGTCCTTCTAGTGGCTCAGGTCAAAAGGCCTGGAGTCATTCCGACCTCCTCTCTTTCACATCACACCCGCCCTGTAGGCTCTCCCTTCAAAATAGATCCTGGATCTGACCACTTCTCAGCACCCGCACTGCCAGCACTCTGGTCCATGCCCACATCATCTCTCATCGCGACCACTGGCTCTCACTCCTGTCTGAACAGGTCAAGCCTGCTCCTGCCTCAAGGCCTTGGCCCTTGCAGCTCACCCTGCCTGGCTGTCATTTCCCCAGATAGCTGCATGCCTCACTCCCTCCCCTTCTTGGGGTCTTTGCTCCAATGTCGCCCCTCAGTACCACGACCACCCTGTCCCTGCCCAGCACTCTTAATCCCCTTTACTTGTCCTCCTCACTAAGCAGTCCTCACCCCGACACCACATTGTATGTGTTTGGGATTTTCAGGCTCTTGTGGTCTCCCCCCAATGAAAGGGAAACTCTTTGAGGGCAGCTCCCAGGGTGGGGTGTCACGGCCACTCTGATAGATGCCTGTGTGGAAGGCAGGGGTGGCACAGAGGCTGTGAGAGGGGCGGGGCAGGTACCAACTTTTCCTGGACTTGCTGCTTCTGAACAAGGCGGATCTGCTCCAGCTGCTCCTGGGTCATGCCTTTCCAGCGGTTGGGGACCACGCGGTGGGGCCCGAAAGAGCTGGCTGCCTGCTGTGGGTTCTCAGAGAGCAGGTCTCCATGCAGCAGGTTGGAGATCTCGGCCAGGTTGTCCTCTTGTTCTTGTTTTCTCTCTCGTTTTTTCTTTTCTGCTGCCTCCATGGCCTAAGCAGGGGAAGACACTAAGGAAGATGCTCTGAATGGCTCCAGGGGGATTCTGAGGCACAGGCCAGTAACCCTCATGGGGTGGGCCCTTGAGGGAAGTATGCACTAAAAGCAGCAGGGGGTGGGTGGCGGGTTAGACTTGTCAGGCATGGATGTGGGGAGGGCCCTTAGACGCCTGGCTGGCTGAGCACCGCTGGGTAGGTGGGCTGAGCTGAGGGGATTGCTACCTGTTGGACGTGGGCATAAGAGCTTCGAGTCTTGGCACCCATTTGCCAAAGCAGGGAGCTGCCTCCCTGGGTTAGGCTGCCATCCCCACTGGACTTGCCCCTCCCCAGGGCAAGGCTCTGTGACCCTCCTATGGCCCTGGCAACCCCTGGACATCTCTGGGTTGCAAAAAACACGCAACAGAGTGAATCACAACAGTGGTGACTTCTAAAAGGTGGAAAATGCACTGTCACTGCAGTGGTCCTGATGGCTTCGGCTGCAGCCCCCGGTACAAATAAAGTCCTGGTCACATCACTGCTCAGATCTCTGGGGATAGGAGGTGGGGGCCTGGCTGTGTGACCTGCAGCTAGTCACCTCCCCTCTCTGGGCGCAGTCATTTCTCTGTCAAGTCAGGAGAGGGATTAGGAGACATTTACCAGTGTTAAACAGTTCTCCTTAGTAACAAACAGGCAGAGCAGTTTGCAAGGCAATGGCACACCCCAGGAACTCACGGTAGTGTCACATGGCACAGACTTTGCAGCTGGACAGGCCCAAATTCAAATCCTGGACTTGCCACTTAGTAATTGGGCATCCCTAAGAAAGTCAGCCCACCCCTCTGAGCCTGTTTCTTTATCAGTTAAATTGGGTTAATCATGCCTCTCTAGAAGGATTGCCAAACACAGCAACTAATAATAGCACCTAACGTTGCTAGGAATAAAGGTAATGGCTGGCATTTGCTGAGTCCTGAGAATGTGCCAAACTGTTCTAAGCTGTTACGTGTATCACTGAGTTTAGTCCCCACTCCCACCTTACGCGCGAGTGGGAGAGCCGTTCCTGCTGACCATTCAAGATCCCAGTGTTCCTTCTGGGCATGTCCTGCCCACTTAGAGTGAGTGTTGCCACGTGGCTTAGTTCACCAATGAAATGTGAGCAGAGTGGTTGTGCCACTTCTGGGAGGACGCCAGGGTGGGACTGGCCATGTTCCTTGTCTCCTGTGCTGCCAGAATCTGCTAGCTGGCAGCTGCCGCGTGCCAGGGCCTGGGCTCCACGGTGCAGATGACGAGGAGAGGCCCCAGAGCCAGCGTGCGACGGATGGGCAGCATGAGCCGAACCTCTCCTGTGTGTTGTAAGCCACGAGAGTTGGGGGTGTTTCTTACCCCAGCAGGAGTTAGCTTGTTCTCACTGGCACGGGTGGGTGGTATCAGTATCCTCATTCCACACATGAGAAAACAGAGGCCCGTGAGTGGTTGCCCACGGCTGCAGGGAAGAGCCTGGCCTCGCACCCATGCAGTCGGGCTCCAGAGCCTGCACGCTACCCCTTGACACTTGCGCAGTGCCTCTCTGATGAAATGGGCACCCGTGCCGAGAACTGGAGGCCCTCACGTGTGTGTCCCCCCTGCTGAATTGGACTGACCTGCGTGGAATTTTCTCCTGAGGCTAGTTATCTAGAGCCTGGTATTAAAATCCCAGGCTAATAAACACAGCCTAATTCTAGTTAGCAACACAGCTGCAAAGGCCAAAGGACAGTTTTCCACATGGAGATGCGTTTGTGATGGCGCTGCCTTGAGGCATCACGTGAGGGCTGGGGGCTCTGAAAGTACCGGGTACATTGTAGATGCTCATTAAAAATTGTATGGAGTGAATGAATGAATGAATCAATGAGGCAACATGGTTTAGCAAAAACCACACCAAGTGCCCAGTAGGAAGGGGCCAATAAACAACTTTTGAACTAAGTGGACAGGTGAACGGTGAGTGAACGGATGACCTGCCCATAGAGGACTCATTGTCAAGAGCCCCATTTTGCTATTAAGTTGCTGTGTGGCCTCAAGCGAACGGCTGCCCTTCTTTGGGCTCCCTCTGTACAATGACGAGTAAGGATCAGGTGGCCTGTAAGACCCCTGGCGGCTTGCTGGTCGGTGACTTTGGGCTCTGGGTGTCTTGTTTTACCCTTCAGTTCTCACCATCACCAGCATTTTGCCCGCCGTGCTCCTCTCCCCGCTGCTGAAATCCAGCATTCTCTGGTCTCTGGTCCAGCCTCTCCAGGAATTTTGATCACACGCCCCCATCACAAGAACATTTTTGAGCTTCTGTCTCCAATATATGTAGTCCACATGTGCTACTACTATACCATAAATATAGCCTGTGCTTTACAAGTTACACACGAACACAGGAATTTTAAATGATGGGGTAAAAAATAAATATGAAGCCAAGTTCTAACATTTTCTTCCTGCTCTCCAACAGACCGCCTTGAACACTCTTCTTTGGAAACCACAGTCCTAGCCACCCAGCTAATCTCACAAACTCACCCAGGACAAACCCCCATCCACCCAGGAAATATAATTGCATCTGAAAAGAAAACCTGGGGGGCAGGGGTCTAATTTCTAAAAGGAATAGAGAACGTAAAGCACCTTAAAGCTGAACTGAAAGCTGAAGGCGAGGGGAGTGTTTGTGAGGAGGGTGGACAGAATTTACATAGGAGGAGGGAGCTGTCAGGAGACCCTCCAAGTCCGTGCCAATCTTCCCCTCCCCCTCCTCACGGTCATTGCTCCTGTTAAGGAGCACCTATGTGCCTGCTCAGGTGAAGAGGAACTCTGAGAGGTGTGGAGGCGAACTGGCGCCAGTTCCAGGCATCACAGCCGTGCCAGGTGGTGGCAGTCTAGGTAGATGTGACTGTCCTCTTGTGGCAGGAGAAGAAACCAGGCTTGGGAAGGTGAGCTCACCTCCCCAGGAGGCATGACTAGTTTTGCAGGTTTCGCTCCCACATTCAGAGCAGAGGGAGAGGGACTGGGTCTCATCCATCTCTGTAACTGGGCAGCCCCTGTCAGGGGCTCCATCAGGGTTGGTGGAGTGACCGAGGAAGTGAGCTGAGCTCAGGACCATGGGGAGGCCGGGAGCTCTGGGAAGCGGCTGTGCTCACCCCTCCAGACGCCATGGCCATGCCTGGGCATATATACTTGGTTCTTGTTGAACTCTTTCACAGCTGCACAAACTGGCTTTCTGGTGGCGCTTTCCAGCTTCTGTAGGTGCCTGGCTGTTTCATCAAACTGCAGCCTTGTCTCTGTGTGGAAGTCCTCTGAAAGGAGGCAAGACTCAATCAGACCCAGTGTGCCCGCCAAGAGCGCCTTCCCACATGTGCAGAGCACCCTGCAGCGTGGTTGTCACACCTTCACCTCTTACCATGTCCCCATCAATAGGGAGGGGAATAACAACAGGACCTGTCTCCGAAGGTTGCTGGGAAAGTTAGGTGACTAATTCAGGTAAAGCTCTTAGATCGGGGCCTGGCACTCAATGAGTGCTAGTGACCACTGCTATGGATTGGTGACGTCTGCTATGGATGAGTGATGCCTGCTGTGGTCCTGGGACAGGTTAGTGGTGTGCCCCTTGCTATGCCCAGTCTATCAGGAGGCAGCTACATCCTTACAGTGGGCCGGGATGGTGGGAGCTCAGAAAAAGGGGCTGCAGAAACCAAACAGGGCTCCACAGAGGAAGCGGTGTCACGTGACAGATATTGTGGAATGGCATTAAGACTTTGCCAGGCCAAGGAGGAGGAGGTGGAGGAGTCTTCAAATGGAGGGTCCAAGCAGCAAAATGTAAAGATTGGGAGTCAAACAGAGCAGGCTTACATCCCAGCCCAGGCATTTCTAACTCTGCCAACTTTGAAGGATCACTTAACCTCTCTGAGCCTCTATGTCCTTACCCTTGAGGCAGAATAACACCTCTTGAAAAGAAAGAAAAAGTCATTGATGAGAAGGTTCTTCCCACGGTGCTTGTGCCCTGTGGGGCTCCTCATTATTGCCAAACACAGAGACTGGACCCTTTACCTTCAATTTCTAGCTCTGCTCACCTTCAGCCTCATCTCTCCCCTTTCATTTGCTCTTCCCCTTTCATATGCATCATTCGACACATAGTGATCAGGGGCCTTACATGGGCCACCTGTTGCCTAGTGGCGAGAGAAGCATAAAGGGTTTTTCCGCCTTCCTGGAATCTACTGTTGAGGAACTGAGATGACAATTAACACATAAACCCCAGAAAAATATATTAATGCAAATTGAGATAGTGCTACAGAGGAACAGCATAGGAGCTAAGAGAGAGAAAGCTGGGAATGCCTGATTTAGATAGGTGGGGGGTGGGGAGTAAGAGATCACTTCTCTAGGAGGAAACGACATTTAAGTTGAGTCCTAAACGACAAAACAATTTGGTCGAGTGCAGGTGCAAAGGTAGTGGGAAATGATTCAGCAGGATCCACAAGTGAGAGAGCCAGAATGGCTGGAACACAGTGAGTGGGGTGAGGGGTGTAAGTCGATGCTGGAGGGTGGGCAGAGGCCCCAGCATGCAGAGCCTGTGGCTATGGGGGGACTTTGCATTTGATTGCATGTGCAGTGGGACATCATGAGAGGGATGGAGGGGGTAGGGGTGACACTGTTCAGCTTGACATTATTTAAAATCGTCTCTCTGACCGCTATGTTGAGAATGTACCAGAGAGGCACAAGAAGGGAAGCAGAAGACAGTTGGAAATGTAGTGGCAGTGGCCCATCCAGATAAGGAAAGGTGGTGGCTCTTATCACAGTGGGGACAGCTGGGATGGGGAGAAGCGGACAGTTCAAACTATATGCAGGAGGGAGAAGGGTCAAGAGTTGAAGTTCGTCCAAAGACAAGGGGGGAGGGTTAAGCATGACCCCAGGTTTCTGTCTGAAGGGAAGGAAGAGCCATTGATGGAGGAGAAAGATGGAAGGAGCAGCAGGTACAAAGGACAAATTCGGGGTTGTTTCCCATATGTTGTGAGATGTCTGATGAGATGTCAAGGAGGCCGTTCAAGGACCAAGTCCAATGCTGAGACAAATGCTTTTGGTCAAAGATGGAAATTTGGACCACCAGAGAGATGGCTGAGGTTTTTAAAGCTCTTCACGAGGATTATGTCAACACATTTTTCTACATTCCAGGAACTAATGGTAGAGCAGTGAACAAAACAAACAAAAATCCTCTGCCTTCACTGAGCTTAGGATATGGCACTGGGGAGAGAGACAGCAAATACATAAGGCATATAGTGTATCAGTGTCAAGGCTGTAGAGAAAAATCAAGCAAGGAAGGAGATAGGGAATGTGGGGGTGGGGTGGGAACTGGGTTTAAAATGGAGGGTCAGAGTAGATGCCCCCGATTAGATGATATTTAAGCAAAGACTTAAAGGAGGAGAAGGGTAAGCCATGCAGATATTTGGGGAAAGATGTTTCTAAACAGCAGGAACAGTAGGTGCAAAGGCCCTAAGGCAGAAGTGAGCCTCACACTCATGTTCTAGGAACAGCAAGGAAGACAGCTGGAAAGAATGGAGTGAGTGGAAGGCAGCATAGTAGGAGATAAGGCCAGGCTGTGAAGGCTTTGTAGGTTCTTTTTTTTTCCTGGCAGCTGGCCGGTGCAGGGATTGAGCCCTGGACTTTGGTGCTATCAGCACCGTGCTCTAACCAACTGAGCTGTCTAGTCAGCAGCCTTGTAGGTTCTTGAAATGAATTTGGCTTTTATTCTGAGTGAAACAGGAAGCCACTGGACGGATTTGAGCAAAGAATCTGACTTTATTTTTAATAGAATCACTCTGGCTACCGGGTTGAGAAGAGACTATAGTGGGTTAAGGGCAAAAGCACAGAGACCAGTTAGAGGCTATTGTAATAATGCAGATGAGAGATGCTGATAACTTAGTCCAGAGGGATAATGATGGAGGTGGCAAAAAGCAGCTGAAATTCAAGGTGATTTGCTGGTAGAGTGGAGGTGTGAGGGAAAGGAAGGAGTCAGATGACTTGGGTTGGGAGCTAGGCAGCTACAAGAATGGAGTTGCCATTGATGGTGGTAGAAGGCCAGGACTGGGGAGGTGAGAGTGTGCCACTGGACTTATACTGACTTTGGCATGTTTATTAGACACCTAGGGACAGTCAGATGGATTCATGAGCCGAATTCAGGGAAGAGTCCAGGTTGAAGTTACAAATTTGGGAAATGATGGCCTCTGGGTGGTGTTTAAAGCTCTGAGTATAGATGAGATCACCCAGGGGAGGAGTTTAGCTGATAGAGGAGAGGCCCAGAGAGCACTGGCGTGCAACCTCAGAAAATGAGGAGGAGCCAACAAAGGAGCTGGGACAGAAAGAGAATCAGCACCTGTATGGAGTTCTGGAAGCCAAATTGCCTAAGTATTTCAAAGAGAAGTGAATTGATTCTCACATGCTGCTGATAGGTTAAAATGAAGACAAAAAACTGACCTTGGATTGGGCAATATGGAGATCACTGGAAAGGTTGGCCAGGCAGTTTCAGAGGAGGTGGGGAGAGCAGATGATTTGTGGAGACATCACTCAGGGAGAGGAGAGTGGGAAAAAAGGAGGTTGAGAGAGACTGAGCTAAGAAGGTTGCAAATTAACACGCAGGGAGGAGCGGCTCATGAGGGCACAGTATACCACTCCTCGTCCCAGCTCCCTGCCTTATGTTCACCGAAGCTCTTTATCATGACGTCATCCGCTGACACACTACCAGCTGGGGCCCCAACACAGACACACACCCAGGAAGTGTTTCCTGCGTGACTGACGTGTGGCTGGGATGTTTCACTCCTGGGGTGCAGGTTCTGACTTCCCTTTCCCCACACAGACAAAGCAGCATATGACTGTGCACATTAGCAGGACTCAAAAAACAAAACAAAAAACCCTGAAAAACCGGGGGGTTGATTGCTGAAGAGAGCACTGAGAGCAATTCATCTCTCCTGTTTCGTTACCTGCACGGTTTTGGTTAATACGAGCATTCTTCCATTC